TTTTTTTTACTGGCAGCAATCAGGATTTTAAACAGGCACCTGTCAGATTTACACAAAATATTTCAAAGATACAACACTGTGAATGTTTTGGGTATCTGGTAGACAAATATTTCAACAATTTTACAACGCACATCATCCCAAAATTTAACCACACCAGGGCAAAGCCAAAAAGTGTTAAACAGCTTTATCTGAATGTGACGAGGTCAGTCCACCAAACTAAGTGTTTCAGTTATATTGAAATATCCCAATATGACGGATAATTTTGCAGCATTGATGGTTATTAGTTCTTTGTCGTAAGCAGAAAGAGACGGAGGTCACTGTGTGGAGTTTTTGCTGTGGATTGGATTATTATTATCGCAGAGCTTTAATTCTGAATATCCATGAAACACACTTGTCTCATGAATGGGCCCTAAACCATTTTTTCGACCAATCGGCCTTCATAGCAAAGCTTTTCAGGCTTTTGGGTGGCAGACGGGGGCTTAAACTGCGGAGGTGCTTAGGCGTTGAACTGAATGTGACGGATAATGAGCTGAACCATTAAAGCACGGACTCTTTTACTCATCAGCTCCAAAAATTTATGAACCTGCAAACGAGCATGAAATGGGCTCTCTTACATGGCCTAATTAGAGGGACGTCCGCGGGGCCGCCGGGGTTCAGGGTGGGACGTGATTGGCTCTCTCCTCTCGCCCACAGAGCCCGGGAGTGCTGGCAGCCGTGGACACCACCGTGCACAAGTCTGTGGGCGAGCGCTTCAAGATCTCCGGTTTCCCCACCGTCAAGTACTTTGAGCGCGGAGAGGACAAATACACGCTGCCCCACCTCCGGAGCAAAGAAAAGATAATCGAGTTCATGCACAGGTGAGTCCGGACTCGACCATGAAGCGGCCTCCTCCTGGAGGACTGAACATAAAGACACTTTACTAAAAGTTAACAATACAATAATATGACGAAAGGCTTAAAGGAGACATATTATACCCTATTTCAACAAGTTAAACTAGTTCCCTGGTGTCCTAATGTGATGTCTGTGACAAGTTTTGGTCAAAATCCCATAAGGATGAAGCCCAATAGCAGTTCAGTCCCCCTGCCTAACCCTAACCCTAACCCTAACCCTAACCCTAACCCTAACCCTAACCCTAACCCAAAACAGCCCCGTTCAGAGCGCTCGCTTTGGAGTGCCTGTCTCTTTAAATGCAAATGAGACACACGCAATCCACCCACTTCTTCCGGGAGGTTTGCCCACGTGCTAACGCTACCATGCTAACGCTACCATGCTAACGCTACCATGC